ACTTGTATAAAACATTATAATTTACGTACTTACTTTAATTGCTCGTTAAGGGGTTATAGTAAGTCAGCTCAAATTCTAATTTCGCCCCCACTTGCCCGCGCGTCGTATGCTATGTACCGACATGTTTGTAATAACTAATACTGTAAGTAGATAGGTCGTTAGACACTTATTTCATTAGGTTTATCATATTTATGCCTGTTTCTTAACGCCAAGCCAGTCGATTCTTATTTTTATTACGGTTTTTTCCCATTTTAATTTTACATCGTCCTGTTGCGTAATGTGTATTCTGATCGTAAGCGACACAACCTCCGCCGCCAAAGGCCGAAGCGAAACTGACCGGGCGGCAGGAATCACGCTTCAAGAGGCCGATAGTTTAGGTAATTTCTTTTTACAGTGAAAATAATGGTATTTAAAAAAAAGTAAATAACATAAGCACTGCTTTATAGTTAGTTCAGTTATTTTTTTGTTTTTTTTTTTTTTTTTTTTTTTTTTTTTTTTTTGTTTTTTTGGTTTTTTCTATTCCGCTTTTTTTTCTTAAAAAAAATTCTTTTTTAAAAACTATTCCTGTGTTATTTTTTTGTATTAATATAATTACTGCATTATCACGCGGGCGGCCAATCGTGTTATCAAACAATACTTCACAATAACGGTTTTCGCAAGAAACTGACAGCTCATTTAGGAGAAAAATAGATACAAGTATAATTTGTAGGTGTAAAACTCCAACAAATAGACGATGACGTAAAAGTATCCATATTACACGTTACGCCAGTAAAATTTTTGGCAGTGGCTAGGGGCCTCAAACACGATAGACGTCTAGCATAACGATCGCCAATCTACCTGCTGTAAGTATAATAATTGTGGTGAATCCTTCAGACAATGCGATAAGCCGTGTCCAACTGTGGGCGTATAAGTTCATTGAACCGTGGTAGCTCAGGACGTGAGCGCTTGCCCTACAATTCGCAATAATATGCTCATTCCCAACTGACAAACGAAATGGGTGGGAAACCGACATGTCTGAATCTTACATAATAAATCTGTAGAAAAATTATTTGTTCACGATTCACGCAAAAACTTTTTTGAGAATTTCCATGAAGTTTGGTGTAGGCAGTAAATGATGACGTATAACATTTAAGCAACTTTTTATTCGCTTACGGAAGAGTAATAAAGAAGTAATTTTTTTTAAGTTTATTGTCATAGTGGTAGTTGGTTCTATTAGCCATAAAACAGATTTAGCATTACGTGCGTGTGCGTATGCGTGTGCGTGTGCGTGTGCGTGTGCGTGTGCGTGTGCCTGTGCGTGTGCGTGTGCGTGTGCGTGGTGCGTGTGCGTGTGCGTGTGCGTGCGTGCGTGCGTGCGTGAGGGGTGTGTGTGTGTGTGTGTGTGTGTGTGTGTGTGTGTGTGTGTGTGTGTGTGTGTGGGTGCGTGCGTGTGTGTGTGTGTGTGTGTGAAAAATGAAACTCATCGCGTAACCAACCAGAAAGGACAGAATAACGTCTGCTGGGCCAGCTAATAATAAAATATTTGAGAACATGCGGTGAAGTCCACCAACAACTAATGGCACTATTGTACCATAACTCTCTAGAAATCATAAGAGTCCCGTGCGCAGCAGTGGAGTAGAGTAAAGGACTAAATTAGAAAAAATAAAGTTGGTGAATAAATTAAACTTTGTGACAGTTCAAGCTACTATTTCATATTAAAAATTGCATAATAAAGTAACCCATCAAATCCTACAAAAACATTTATTATTTACGTATTTCACCTATGTGTGAACGTAGTTCGTGAATAGGAAATTATATGCGTATTACTCGATACCAAGAAACTCTAACTTGTCACTAACGACTTGTTCACGTTGATTTGTCTTCGACCGCTTCCTCTTGCTAGTGTGGTCGAGGCATTAGCCACGCAATACTAGTACATATACGACAAAAATATCATCACGTTTCCCGACGATGTCTCGTGAGGCATAATTTACGTAGACCTTTGATTTATTTATCTGACAGCGGTTGTTGGAATAAAAGAAATATGGAACATCACTTTTAAAATGGCCGTCGGTCAACAGTAAATTGAATGAATTTGCGGTCGTAAGTAATTATCTAGAAATTCTTATTTTTAAGAAAGTTATTATTTTAAAGTTTACAAACCACATTTAATAGATCATAAAATAAAAAACCAACATATATTGACTTTAGGCCGTAAAACAACGCGAAAAAAGCAAGTAGGTTACTTGCTTTTTTCGCGTTGTTTTACGGTTTAAAATTTGTAATTAATTTTGAAGCACCGATCCAGCATCCGATCGACTGATTTTGCTTATTTAACTTCGATGAAAATTCACCCGGCTCCACTGCATCACTCCGAACGATGGACCCAGATGCTGACACTAACTACGCCTATAAAGCCTTGTTTTTAATTAGCTTTTTTATTAATATGATAAAAACGAGTACTAGCGTCTTTTAGCGTTTGATTTCAAAATCACTAAAAAAGTAATGATTTTAAAATAGATGACAAATTGTTTTGACACTATTTTTATTCTTTAAATAACTAATATAAGCATAAGTTATTGCTTATAAGAGAGTAAAATATGAGTAAAACACAATAAAATCCATCAAATTAGTTTTGTTCGGGAAAACCTTGATGTCGAAAATCTTTTTTTAATAAAAAGAATATTAACAATGCTATAAACATTACTAATATTCCCCTTAACCACTCGTGGTAAGCTTAATTGCTTGTGTTATGAGTGGTTCACGCCAGTAGTCGAATGGCGGTTTCGAACCCACGACCTTTTTGAGTTCGCGGTCCGCGCCCTGTCATTAGGCTACAGTCCCATTGTCGAAAATAATAATATTCGATTACTTTTTCCATCACTACTTCTTAGTAGTGTGTAGGTAATTAGTAAACCAGTTTTTGAAAACACGAAGGCAATAATATGTGTATTAGAAAACATGAAGTTTAAAAAAATTGCGGGAGATTCGCTCTTACAGACTTCTCAGTTGGCATCGGTTTAAAAAATTCTCTGATCATATTCAGAACATGCTGGAAATAATAGCCCAGATTTTTAAGTATGAAATTCGGTTAGGTTAGGTTTAGGTTTAGGTAGGACTTTTTTTTATAAGATGAGGGTGATAAACGAAACACACTCCACCTGATGGTAAGTAGTTGCTGTGGCCCATAGACATCTGCATCTATCCTCCATTACGAATTAAAATGCAGATACGTTGTCACCCGTGAGGACTAAGATGACCCGTGAGGACTCGTTTTTAGTAACATAGGTCACCGGTTCTCTACACTCACCATACGAAACACAACAGGGTTAAGCAGCTATTTTACGCTGGTATTCTGTGAGAACGTGGTTCTTCCCTGGTCGAACCGACTCATTCGTGCTACAACTATACCGCATTAATTTCTTCAATCCGTTTACAGATAAAATAAAAACTCATCCAATTTTGCTAAAAACTTCTAAATCGATCACTCCGACGTCGGTTATCGTTATTTATTCTCACCCACACATACAGACAACCTCTTATAAACCATCCCACGTTGATTTAAAAACGGACCTGCAAATAAACTTTATTCTGATGTATTTTTCATGAAACTGACGTGACAAACAAACTTACGGTTCAGTTGGTAAGTGGCTTCCGCAGCTTCTCCGAGGACTAAGGTGTGATGCCTCACTGCATGAAATATACGGGTAGACAGCTACACCCTTCGAACTAAAACGCTGCAGTGCAAGCAATTCTATTTGGCGCAGAAATATGTAAGAGGACACATAGATAGAAACGGAGTACTATCACCAAAATTGTTCAACTATTTATTGTTTGTTACGTTAAAAACTAAAAAGTTAAAAGTAACAGCCTACATACGTCCAATACGTGTAGATGAACTTCACATGTCTTATAAATAATTTTTTTCTTATTTCTCAGATATGCAGGTTTTTTATGGTTTCCACCGGGAGTATATTGTCAGTTGCCACAATAATTTTTAACTTTTAGAATAGTGCTTATTTCTAATACACAGGAGGAGTAGGATACGTATTTCTGCTATTTGATACATAGTATGTAGTTCTACTCCTCATTAGTAACATTTATTATTAAATTTCAGACATGCAGATTTTTTCACGATGCTTTCCTTTACCACTGAGCACGTAGTAAATCAGCACTTAAATTTGCAATTACAAATTTATTGGCACCGGCGGGGATCCAAATCGAGTTGCTCGCGTACTGTGAAAAACTCCTCCAACATAACGTCGTGCCAAAAATTGTACTGTATATCTAAAATACTTATTCAGTAGCAAAATAATACTAAAGATTCTAAAGAATTAAAATTAAATACAACTTACTTAAAAAGAAACTCTGTCTGAATTGTTTAATATTACATGTCATCTTATAGAATACATGTGTTTTCCGCCGCGCCTCCATCAAGAGATAATTAACCGAGTCACGAACTCTGTTTATGACTGACTTGAAAAAATAAACATTCCCTTTACGGGCGGTTCCGATTCGTCACACGTCATCATCGTCTAAATTTTTGCTTTTATTATGGCCGAGGACGGCCGTATTACGGCGCCATTACGCCGAGGGTCATTAAATTGTCAGCAACAGAGGGTTATTACAGCGCGTGCGCGGGAGTGGCGCAATATGGGTTAAATAAATCAGCTAATTAACCCCCAAAGTCTCATATTAACAACATAAATTTCGTGCTACGCGGCACACCACTCCAGCTGTTATGTGGGTTGAATATGCGCATAATACATTCGATGGTTCATCTGAGGATAAGCCTGTGTAAGGAGACCGAAATGCTCAAAGTTATATAGCAGGTTAATCTTTTATACTTAAGAATTTATCCTTTGTTATCATATTGTTGAAGACTTAAATTTAATTAACTTTAATAATATTTATAACGCTTAGTATTTATATCAGCATTTAGATGACTCAATAAGTCGCGCCATTTTGATATCGCTCTTATAAATCAAAAAGCAATTTGAAAGTTTTCTACTTCATGAAATATGAGGTAGGTGGGAGTTTAATTTAATTATTATTGAAAATATTGTTTGATTTTGCTTTGCTTACCTATAAGTTTTTAAAAACAAAGGTCTACATACCTATTTACTTTTATATGTGTTATTCGCGTGATTTTAACAAACTACATAAGACATCCATGGATTTCATTTTGTTAAATCCAGCAGCTAGAATAACTTAGTTGAAATATTACCCCCTCTTTTCGAGCTGGAATGTTCAAACAATTCCACTATTTCTATTATTTTATTTTATACTTAGTGATTTAAAGATGGAAAACTGCGTCTTTTGTGGTCATAGGCGCGAGTTTTGATCGTGAGGCCCTGGATTCGAAATCCGGCTCGAGCTAAGATAAAGTTGATGGTGTTTGCTACCAAGAACTTCTGAGTAGCCAGTGCCTCAGAAAGCACGTAAGACCGTCGTGTCGGCCGTGCAGTTGATCTTCCCTCTTTAGTGTTGCCGTCAGTTACATCGTACTTCGAGAGTTGGGGAATAGAGAGTACACCTATGCTTGCGTACACACTTGAGCATTAAAATCCTATCGTACGCAGATGGCTAGTCTCTGGTGTGAAATTTGATTTGAAAGATATTATAATTACATTACGTACTTGACGTGGTTGTAGCACGAACGGGTCAACTCAACCGGGGGAAAATAGCAGCTTAATGCTATTGTGTTTCGGATGGTGAGTGTAGAGAACCGGGGATCCTTTTTTACTGGAAACGAGGCATTCCATCTTAGATTCAGGGTGACAAAGCATCTGCCTTTCATATTCTTAATCAAGGTAGGTAAAGTTTATGGACCACAGCATCCTCTTACCATCAGGTGGACTGTGTGCTCGTTTGTCACCCTCATTCTATAAAAAAGTGTTGGAACTCAATAACCGCCTAGGCCTAGGTGTAACTCGAGGGTTGCTTCCTTCCTATTTGTGCAGTGTACTCACTGATATGTTCCCATTTAATAGTAAGTAGCCTATTAAGTTATAAATTGTGAGTTTTTCCTTTATCCTCAGCGATTAGAACGCATCTCTGGCTATTTTACTTTATAAGCCAAGCATGTTGCGGGTGTCCATACAGTATATATTTACAATCAGTTTGTTGATAAGCTTATTAGCCACTCTTAAATATATACAATACTTACTGTAAATTGTACCTAAACCCGAAAATTCGTCCAGGCGAATATACCATAAACATTAACATAATATATTTGAAACTCTTTGGGGAATTATTTCAATACAATGGGTTTTGTTATCGTTATCCCATTTCAAACCAGAATTTTTTCCCGTATCTTTGACGTTTTACGTACATAAATGTCACATGCACAAACAACCAAACTCGTACTTGAAGCAATTACATATCTGTAGGGATTCGACAGGCGGGCCTGTAACTTCGAAGCCCAAATCTTATGCACTACGCTACCTTTCCGTCCTAAAAAAAGTTGGAACCAAAATTATATTTTTTGGTTGATATATTCATATTGTTAAATCTGTTCGAGCCAAAAAATAGCTAAAAGAGTTTTTAATATTAGATTCGTCCAACATTTTGGCATAATCAGTTATTACGCAAACAGAAAATAAATATTGCACATTACAATTTAATGTATGTATATGTATCATAATAAATTTATATACAGGCTGTTTAACAATATAAAATGTAGGGAAAATTAACACGGGTCGCGTGACCAAATCTATTAAGATAATTAGTGAATCACCTCATGCTTGGGTTTATCGCCACGTGCTCTGAACAAACAGATGTCAGTAATATCACAGTAATAAATGTAAGATATGTCACCATCGAAGTCCATTACAACAACGGCCGCGTCCTACTAAACTCAAACTCAAACATTTTATTATTATGTTATATATCAATTTAATCTAATCAATTTAGAAAGACGAATTTTAATTTTATTTACTTAAACTACTTACTTAAACCACTACATTAGGTACTTTAGGTTTAATAAACATTTGCAATATTTACAACGATATTAGAGAGGTATACATATTCAAAGTAAACAATTATTATTTTTCACCGAAAAACTCTGACAACGAATAGAAACTTTTTTTCAATTAAATATTTTTTAAGCTCTCTTTGAAATTTATACGATTCTTCTTTTTGTAGACATTTGGGAATTTTATTATAAATTTTACACACATACCATGGGATCCTGATTTAACTGTTTGTAATTTTGTGATAGGTGGAGCTAATTTTTTACTAGGACGTAAAAAATGAGGCCGGGAGTATATTGAAAAAAGGTGCATATTCTTTTTAACAAATGTGCATACTTTTAGTATATATAGATGTAATTGTTAATATTTTTAATGAAATAAAGTAGGGTTTACAGCTGTCAGTGCTATCTGTGTTTGTAATTGTTCTGATACATTTTTTTTTGTAAAATAAACAATTTATTTACGTCTGCGCTGTTTCCCCACAGTAAAATGCCGTACTTGAGCCATGCATGGGCATAACCATAGTATGCACACGTGGCTGTTCTTGAATCTGTAACTTTTTTAAGTTCGTATAGTGCATACGAGAAACGGGAAAGTTTAGATGATACTTTCTTTATGTGTTCTTTCCAATTTATACCTGAATCTATGTTTAAACCTAATAATGTATATGAATCAACACATTATAGTTTAGTATCGTTGTAAGAATAATTTATAGATAGGAGGCATTTTTGATACGGCCTAAATTGTATTATCTTAGTTTTTGTGTAATTTATGACGAGATTGTGATTTTTTTAACCATTTAGAGATATCTGTAAGTACACTATCTAGACAGTTGTTAAGATTGTTGTTAGAATTATTGTCGAAAGGTATGACTACAGAAAGATCATCGGCAAAAAAGGTACAAGGGGCTTTGACTATACTACTTCAAGGAATCAGGGTTCAGCCCAAAATGGCAACCGGAGCCAAAATTTGTCCAAATTGTTTGTTTTGTAACTGAATATTAATGTTGATGCTAAAGGTATAGTTAGCGAGATGCCACTAACTTTTCCTCTAAACGCCAAGTTCACGCATTGCGTGTGTTCTTGGCATTGTTAATAATATATTGCTGGTTGCCGGACGAGGCTCTGGTGACTGATTGTTGGAAGAAAATCAATATAGACTTGTGATAAAGACCTGAATTACCAGAACAAACGGTAATCGCCCTTTTGACAATTGTACAAGTCAAGCAAGCAGTTGATGCTTTGTAATGTTGAATTGATCTGATTTATAATATCTTACCGTGGGCTTAGGTTGTAATAAAATCCAACACACGAGTTCGATCAATTGATATCGCAAGATGCGACTATCAAGAATTCCAGAAGATCACTTTGCCACGATAGATGTCCTTAACACCGTCTAGTTCTTACTCTAGCGTGTTCATTATCTACAATTTAATGAGTAGAGTAAAAATAGGTTTTTATTCTTTTTTATCTTCGAGAATAAAAAATGAGGGGGCGTTAAGTGTGACAGTTTTAAATCGTTTTAAATAAAAACACTGAAAACTTCGATTCATTATATAGTTTAAAAGCTGAGAGTAAAACAAACGAACATTTCATTTTAAAAAAAAAGTTAAGTCCATCAAAAGTCCACTGCAGTTGAAAGGCCTTTCCGATAGATAACCTTAAACAGAGCATATTCGCCATAACGCTACTCCTTATAGGCAGGTTATTGTTAAGGAAAATATTAAAGATTAGTGATAAATTATGTACGAAAACCTAATAGAGGCCCGACTCGCACTAGTCGGTGTTTTTTTACTTAATTTGATAGTTTCATCGTTATTATTATTATTTTATAGAGCCATGCTGCAGTTATATTAGTAGTATAGTTGTAGCACGAATGGGTCAGCTCGAACGGTGAAGGACCACGCTCTCACAGAATACCAGTAGTAAAATAGTAGCTTAATGCTGCTGCGTTTCGTATGATGACTGTAGGGGACCGGAGACCCTTTTTACTTGAAACGACGCACTCCATCTTAGTCCTTACGGGTGACAACGCAGCTGCATTTTGATTTGCAATCGAGGATACATGTAGATGTCTATGGGCCGCTGCAACCACTTACCATCAGTTGGACTGTGTGCTCGTTTGTCACCCTATCCTATTAAATAAAATTGCTTGTTCGGCATAACTTTAGTGGTCATATGTACCTACAAGTAAAGTCATATAGTTAAAACAGCTGATAGAAATATTAAAACATAGAAGTTTATTAGATTAAGATGTAACGACCAGAGTAGACTTCATGCCAGTTGGATACGTCTGAGTAGATACAACCCTCTTACTTAGCAATGCTTGTACTGCTGAGTTTCGGTTTGAAGGGTATAAGGAGACAGTATGTAATGTTTCCTTATACGCTTTTAATTTTACTTTCTAAGTATTACTGTTGATGCGCAGCTTCAATGGGGCCCCCATATTACTAAATTAGCAGGCAGACGTAGTTCTGCAGCATATGCTGTAAGAAAGATTAGAAGTCTCACCAATTTTGAGACAGCTAGATTAGTTTATTTTAGTTACCTTCAGGTAATGCAACTGACTTTGAAGTCACATTTGTTTTGTAAAAGATAGCCGTAAGGGCGATTTATAACTTAAATTGTAAAGAGTTCCTTAGAGAAAAATTTAATAAAATAAACATATTAACTTTGGCATCGCAATATATTTATAAAAAATCTATGTGTGTACATAAAAATATGTTCATACTTTAAACACTAAGAACAAACATAATAAGCTTGTGATACCAGTTTCTAGACTCCACAGAATTAGTAATTCATTTATAGGGCAATGTTACGCCTTTACAACAAAATCCCAGAAAATTTACAAAATTTGTCATTAAACAAGTTTAAATGTTTTATTAAAGAAAAAATGTACAAAAAGGGGTTAAAAAAAAAAAAAAATATTTAATAAAAATTATTTTTTTTTTTTTTTTTTTTTTTTTTTTATTTTTTTAAATGAATTGTTTGGGTATAATATGAAGGTATACATAAATGAAAATAACCCATCAGAATGAGGTATCGCCACCATGCTGGTTCTATGAAAATTCATTCAAAAATTGTCCAAAATTAATTATTGTAAAGTGAAATATGTTTAAAATAAATCCCGCTGGGTTTTTTGCTGGTGCTTCTCCAGAGGTTTTATTTCCAGACAAGTGGTAAATTAAAAAAATGACTTTCAATAAGTATTATGCAATAATCTATATTGAATAAAAAATCATTCATTCATTCATAAAAAACTTCAGTTACGGTGGCCAGTCCCGACTAAGTCTGAACGGTAGAACACGGTGGTATAGTGAACCGTTGTTGCGCAAGCAAAAGTGCACAATCTATTTCTTTACTCTCATGGTCCGATGGGATGACAATCCGGGACGGTAATCCGCTTGATATTAAATGATAGATATCATGCGAACACATTTACATGCTTTACTGGGCACGGGGGTGAATACACCGCTAACTTTCTTGACTCTGCGCTGTTACGGAGAAAGTTTTGACAGAAAAACTCAATAACGGATTTTGCACGAACTAGGATCGAACCCGGAACCACACTAGCAGCAGTTGCGCTTACGAGCACAAGACAAACGAGGCAATTACGTGGACTAGAGTAGCCACAACTTCAGTCTTATAAAAAAAATATAGGGGAAGCGATAGTGGCATTCGTATGCACAAAAACGTAAGCCCATATTTAAAAAATGTAGCCTTTCAGTTATTAGGAAATGAATGTTATGCGATATGACGTGTAATATTAAGGGGAAATATAACCTCAAATGGCTTATAGCAAGATCCTCCGTTATGCCGAAAATACTACAGCATTAATTTTGAAATTAATATGTAGTAAAGGAGGTGTTGACTATGTTAGACGAAAACACAATTCCGTAAAATTTTCTCGATAGAAAAATAATTCAAAGTTACCTCCAAAATAAACAAAAAACCACTGTTATTCATAAAATACTTTAAATAAGATTATAAAACTTTGCATACTAACTGAACTAAGTATAAAGCAGTGCTTATGTTATTTACCTTTTTTAAATACCACTATTTTCAGTGTAAAAAGAAATTACCTAAACTATCGGCATCTTGAAGCTTGATTCCTGCCGCCCGGTCAGTTTCGCTTCGGCCTTTGAAGGGGGAAGTTGTGTCGCTTACGATCAGAATACACATTACGCAACAGGACGACGTAAAATTAAAATGGGAAATAACCGTAATAAAAATAAGAAGCGACTGGGTTGGCGTTAAGAAACAGGCATAAATATAATATACCTAATGAAATAACTAACGACCTATCTACTTACAGTAGTAGTGATTACAAACATGTCGGTACATAGCATACGACGCACGGGGAAGTGGGGGCGAAATTAGAATTTCAGCTGACTTACTAACCCCCTTAAGCAACTAAATTCGCCACTTAAAATTGTAGTGGAAGGACCAATAATGGATCCAAATGCGACAGTTTTTAGAAGTAGTCGTATTTGTAAAGCACTAACATTGGAACACTACGTTAAGATGAATGCAAAACAAAGTACTTACTGAAACAAAACCAGATCATTCATCAATGGATCATTACGAAAGATCATTTTCCGTAGAGGCAAAAACGCAAAGCACTTTTTCAAGGGCGTAGCTATGACTAGTCAAATTACAAACGCCAGTAAAACCTCGCTCGCGAACGAAATGAATTTTATTGTACGAATAGTAATTTATCAAAATGTCCGTCGTCCGTTCCGCCCGACAACCATCACGCCGTCGCTTTATACGGGAACTTGTCCAATGAAGATTTAGTCTTATAGCTTTTGTGCTTGGAATACGGATCTATTAGGGGCATTTCTGAAGATGTTTTTGTCTTCGACAGCCGGGTTTTCATTAGATATAGAATCAAATAGATCGTATCCTTATAAGAAACCTTAATTACTAAGCCTTCTGATCTATATTTGATTGACAATGAGAGCAATCAGTATTACTTGTTTTGTGTAAGGCCGTATTATAATATATTTTAATTAAATTCAATAGATAAATCGATACTTTGAATAGTCGTCGAGCGTGACTTAAACAATAGATACTTATAGTATTTTGTCTATTCGTAAGTTATTTACTAGCTTTAAAATTATAAGAACCCTTTTCTTAAAGGGTCGATGAACTCTTTTGTGCATTCAACTGTGCTCTTAGTTCAATAGCGGGCTTAATCGGCTTTATTGGAACATCGCTCGTCGCATCCATTTAAAGTTACAGTACATTTACTTTGCTGTATTGGCGCTCACTGTTATAATATCGTTTTCACATTTGCAAAAAAAGTTTGATATATAGAACATTTGATGACTTTGGCAAAAATTGGATTATTACAAAAAATATGAAGTAAAAAATCTATAAACTGTTTTTATGTTACGTGTGACATAAGTATCTAATTAAATATTAGAAAAAAGGTTTGCATTTAAAAAACTTCGATTTCGGTATGTTTTCTGGTAATGCTTATTTAACCACGTCGTGTTGGCATTTTTCTATCAAAGCGATTTTTATTCAGATTTTTATTCAACTTAAATACAGTAAAATGCGAGCAAATAGTCCACCTGATGGTAAGTTGATGTTACTTAATTCAACTAACCGCTGCTGTACTAAAGTAAAGATGTAAAAAGTTAACAAGAAAAAACATAAAATCAATTTGACAATAATTTTAACAATATACTGTTTTCTAAAAATCACATTTCCACTCTAGCCTCGTAGGTGCGCAACTATTTTTCAAAATTCAAAAAAAATTTCTAGTTTTATTTATATCAATAGAGCAACGAATACTAACTGTCAATTTTCGCAACTAAATTTAATCACGGTATATGTTTTCATAGGACGGTGAATACAAACCCGTATTGACATTTAATATAGATATGGTTTGATTTTTATTCACTTTAGTTGGCGTCAAAAACTTTTGCGTAATGCTATAAATATATACACTACCTATACATGCGAAGATGAGTCGCATGTATTAAAAAATGTGTTAATTTTATTCATCATAAAAATATAAGGTTGTGTATTTACCATCACAACCTTATTTTTAGCAATACGAACGAAAACACCATTTGGAGACCAGTCATCAATTAACTTATTGTTTTTTTTTCGAAGGAATATATTTGCAATATCAGAAACTATAAGTACTTATTCAAAATTCATAATATGCTATCCATTTGGAGATTTGTTATCATTTATGAAATGGTTGCGGAAACCATTAAATATATTATATAACAAAAATAAATTTAAAAATGAGTTTACTTATCGTTCAATTGTGCTAGGGAGTGCGATACGCTGGCCATGTGTTCTGTGTTAGCACGATGTGAAATTAATAATTCTTTTTAGTTCTTTTTAGAAGGCATTCACTTCTTATTTAAAGTTATTTTTCTAAAACATACTTATCATAGCTACACCACTTCAAACTGATCTGTTCAACCAAACAGCAATTTCGTAGATATGTGGTAAAGACCAAAAATATCCAAATATCTATAACAGTCTGCAAAAAATAACAACGGTGGAGTGGAGTGGAGTCGCAATTTCGTCTAAATATTTGTATTAAGGTTTCCTCCCAAATAGGGAATAAATTTTATCCAAATTTATAAGAAACCATCCTTGAAGTATAACCCATTTAATTTAAAAAATCAGAATGGTTATTAATTGACGATGAAATCGCATAACATACATACAAAAAAAAACATACAGCCTAATTGATACCTCCTCCTTTTTTAAAATCGATTGACAATGTGTTTCAATTATTTGTTAACTAAATAGAATTTACAATATTGCAATGTATGGGAAGAACATTTTATACAGCGCTGTAAAGTCATTTCTTTCTGTTTTGAACATGACAAATTTCAACAAACCGCGATGTGTTTAACGCCGACCATTCAGCAATTAATATAACGCAGAATTAAATAGAAATATATGCGATATATGAGCGAGACAAAAGAAAAACATCAGAAAGGCATCACTGCAAAAATTTAATTTATTAATTTTATGACTGTAAAATTTTAATCTTGTAATTACATAAATGAATGATGAGATTACACTAATAGAGAATTTTTCGCTTTCAGATCTGGAAGAGGCGCGGCGTACGCCTGTTCAGAAGGCGAAGGAAATGCCCCCAAGTCGTGCTGTGGACGACCCCCACTTAGGCTTTGCGTCTTGTTCCTCGGCGTCGTGGGAGCCTGTCTAGTAGCCGCTGGGGCAGTTCTGGGTGCCCTAAGGCCACACCCGAGAGCACCCCTCACATTACTGCTACTAATGATAGGTGAGATATTGATTTCTACATTTGAATTAATAGTAATAATAATAATTTATTTATTTCTCACCACAAACGACATGGAAGATACATTAGTGTTACATCTCTATTTTAACAATATTATGTCATTCATGGGAGACTGGTGCCCGTATGGGTTCAAATTACAGGTCACCAGCCCCCCCCCCCCCGAATTTACCTGGCAATAAGTATAATATTATACAGAGATCACTTATGTTATGGTTAGGAATAATATTATATAGAGCGATTTATCACTTTGGATACATAGAAATTAAGAAATTCCTAACGTTTTGTGTCCTTTAAATCATAAAGCCCATATAAGATTTTCATATGTTAGGGTTTTCATAGATATTTTCTTCTGCCGCGTAATGAGAGATTCCACTACTCCATATCATCCAGTGGGTGTCGTAAAAGGTGACAGAAATAATCTGAAACTGAAGAGGCAGTATCAAGAAGTTGCTTTTTCGTAACAACTCAAAATAATAAAAACTGCAGTCGCCAACCGACCTGCCAAGAGTGACAATGCCTGTGAGGAACTCTATGAGAAAGGCTTATATTTAGCAGTGAACTTATGATAAGCTGTTATAAATAATAATAAATTTAAATATTTTCTTATTGACCGCTGAATACCTTTTGAAATGTCACGGAAACACAAAGACTTTCACTCTAAACTTACAACTCCATTACAAAGATTTTAAAATTACCTTTTAAGTTATTAGTTTACCCATAACAACGAATCTTAAACGACAATTGTCAAAACGAACCCAACTACGATTCTCATCATAGTTACACAAATACACTGCTGCTACACGGGATGTATCCGAAAATGGTTATATGTACTGGTTTATCTCAACAATGACTCTTGCCTGGAAGACACCATTTTTCATGGGAACTACCTCCGCATACCCGCCTTGCGGTGTCAAGGATGGGTTAAGTCAAGCTTTCGCACACCCGCGGTCTCACCGGTACCGTCGCTCTTTCCTCGGAATAGGACAACACAATTTCCCCTATTCATAACTTCACATGCCTGCGCCCACCTGCGCCGGCACAAAAGCGCCATTAATGTCGAGCAATGTTCAGTGTTAACCTTATATTACCTATAATTGTCACGATGGATGAATTATCTGTATTCATAACGAAGCTTATACGAAAACTTCAGAGTCACTTGTCCGATTTTTTTCTTTCTGGATGTATATCGTCATAGTTTTATTAACTAAGGAAAATTATTCAGCAAATGGAACTACTCATTTATATAACCTGTTTGTTGATAGCCTTTGATCGTTGAACCTATCACTTGTCTTTAACATTTTTTATAACTATCAAGGGTTCACGGCACAATGGAATAGTAACTGGAACCGGAAGTAAATTTAAAAAGAAATTTACAGTATAATGTAATTTGTACTCTAATTCATAATGTTATCAAAATGGTCGTCGTAATTAATTGCCTTAATTAACCGCAACCCAACCGGTAGCAACTCATTGGATATTCGGCGTGCATATGATAATAAAACGTCTGGGCGCGATTTCATTATATATCATTCACAAAGCCTTGCACTCACTCTAAGCGGGCGGAGTTTTCAATTAAACTTCAAATGAGTTTTGGGGCAGAATTAATTGGATTTTCATTAGTGTTAGGGACAAATGATGTTGTTACAGACAAGCGATCTATTGTTTGCCCGCTGTGGCAATTTGTACGCGTCAGTCACTTCGTAACTTCATGCATCGACATCGACGAAATGGCGCAGCTTTCCAAATATATTGTCTGTATATGTATACAATACATTATGCATACTCATTTCGTTATGGAACATTGTAAAAGCGATGGTTTAAAACCTTTTGTTTGTGATCGTAGGCTGTAAACAAATATAATAAATTAAGAACACATGTTCCATTGCATAATAGAATATTTTAAAACAGCACCATTATAAATTTTCAAACAATTCATTCGTTCACAAATTCTGATTAAAAAGAAGGTCTTATTACAAGAATATTATTATACGTGACCCACAAATGAAATTGGTAATTGCAATTCTAAGTGCGGATTTACCACGTACACGGCAGTTAAGGAAAACATCATGAGCAAACCACCATATCTAAGGAATAAATTATTTCGAGGATATGTGAAGACCGCTAACACGGCGAATTTATTGCTCTCCTTTCCCTCTCGAAAATGAGAGGACTTCTGTGCATGACTGTAACTTAACTTTTTAACTTTTAATAACGTGGGTTGTCTGAAAAGTTTCCGACCTAACAAAGATATAAGAACTTTTTTCTTACAATTTATTTTTATTTTTCTACATAGTATCCAAGTAACCCTACACAATTCTCCCAGCAAAGCTCCCATCTCTTAAACCCGTCCAAATGGTACTCGGCGTTTTTCTCTTATCTGGTGAGTAAGGCAATTGCAACCAGCAACCACTAAGGTGTGAGACGGCGCGTTATCATGGTGAAACAGGATTTTCTTTTTATGCAAATGTGGCTGTTTTTCCGCAATTTCTGACTTCAGTTTGTCAAGTAATGATGCTTAGTATGCTTTTGTAATGGTTTTTCCTTTTTGAAGATAATCGATTAAGATAACTCAGTGACTATCCCAAAAAACAGTCCCAGCACTTTTCCAGCCGAAAAAACAGTTTTTTGCTTTTTTACCCTCTTTGTAGTCCACATCCAATTTTCATCTACAGTAATAAATCGGCGCCTAAACTGCGCCAACAAACCGTTAGAAATGTGCATCCGAACACGTTTTTGGTCTAACGTGAGGAAACGTGGCAATATGTGGCAAAAACGTTTCTTGGACACTTTCATAGCCTCTGCTATCCTCTCCCACGTGAATTTTAGCGATCTCATCGTCAGTAGCTGTAGTTTTAGGACGTCCCGAACGTTCATCGTCTTCCAAGCTCTCATGGCCACGTCTTAAATTCAGCTACCCAAAATTTCACTGTGGTACATGATGATACAAAGTTCTCATACGCAGAGTTCAACTCATCTTTGATTTGCGCAGGCGTATTGCCTGTCATAAACAAAAAAATAATGACAACTCCATACTCAATGTTTTCCATTTTTACAAAAACGCTCACAAAAACACTCACATCGACTCACTCAAAACGACCGTTAAATATCAAAGCTACGCGTCCAAAATGGTAGATATTTTGCTGCGTAACTGTCAAAAGATGCATGACTACATTCACTATTATTGACGAGTGATGCCATCTTTACGTTAAGGTTGGAAACTTTTCAAACCATCCTGGTATATCTGTGGTCAAAGCGTGCATTAAACCATTAAAACAAAAAAAAATGTACGTTAAAACATTTTAATATATATAATGTATATTTTAAAATTAGAACTACTAGACTTTAAAATGTATAATATATATTTTAAAATTACAATAACATACATACAGCAATGACATCAGTTTAATAGTTTAGGGTACAGATTGCGAAATTAAAACAGTTATAACGGGTCGGGTTAAATCTTATCATTCGACTACAGTCTTGAACCATCTCCTAAAACACAATAGTGTAAATAGCATTTGCTAGTATTCTTATTAAAATAATAAAACAAAGTTTTTTTAGGTATAGGAGTAGTGTTGGTAACAGCGGCAGCGCTTGCATGGAGACTTGGTGCACGAGATACCCCTTGTGCACTACTTGGGCTTCGACGAGCGTCCTGCCGCCGACTTGTGCCCCGACTTCCACCCAGCTATGCACGACCACACCACCCATATGCAGCCATGCTGTACCCCGAGTTCCATTATAGGCCACCGCCACCCACCTATCAAGCTTCAATGCAAGAGTACAGACTCAGGTAATTTTTTACTTTTCTACTTTTTCTTCTTAATAGTAAAAGTGCACTGGTTGCGGAGTGGAGGTTTAAATTTTTTTTATAGGATAGGTTGACAAACGAGCACACAGTCCACCTGATGGTAAGTGATTGCTGTGGCACATAGACATCTACATCTATCCTCGATTACGAATCAAAATGCAGATGCGTTGTCATCCGTGAGGACTTAGACGGAATGCCTCGTTTCCAGTAAAAAGGGTCTCCGGTTCTCTACACTCACCATACGAAACACAGCAACATTAAGCTACTATTAAACGCTGGTATTCTGTGAGAGCGTGGTCCCTCCCCGGACGAGCCGACCCATTCGTGCTACAACTATACTATTAATATACTGCATACATACTACTAATAACTACAACATGGCTCTACCATGTAAAAAATCGTAAATTCGTAAAAAAATCGTAATTACCGACGATACCATCAAAAAAAGCAGCATCTAGCTGCTGTGTGTGGTATAGCGAGTGACGAGTACAGAAGACCTTTTTTAATGATAACGAATGCCTCGTTACTTTTATCTTAATTCCTAAGAGGGTGACAACGTATCTGCATTTTGATTATATATCGAGGATAGATGTAGATTTGGGGCCACAACATCCATTCACCATCAGGTGGATCATCTGAGTGCTTGTTTGTCACACTTTTGGAAAAAATATAGTTATACAGTCATCTATTCCTGGATTTAAAAAAGTTTGAACGTTTCTTTAGACAATTTCAAGAGGCGATAGATTCTTTTTTTAAATTACACTACTTGGCCTTAGAAGTATTTTACGAACAGTACGTAACGGTTATCGAACTAAATATTCTGTTATTTCTTACAAATCTAGTTCCTCGCGGTATTTTTCATGACCGCTGATCACTTAATTAAGACATCAAATAATTGTACTTAACAATTTTATCGAGCATCAAATGATCAAACTCTAGTGGCTTGCGTAAAATTAAATGTATAGAAAATGTTTATACTCTAAGCTACTACGGCTCCAAATAAAATAGTACAAGATAAAAAGAGTGTATAATTGTTATCTAGTTTACAAGATATATCGCTTTGAAATATTTCCAGAATACGTTAAGAGTAGTGAAATTTCATTTTATAATATTATTCTGGAAGCACTTCAATTCTGCGTGTATTGTTTTTCATTCGTAAATTTTAGAGATAATAATTAAGTTCTGGGTAAATGAAAAGCTTACATTTCAGCTCACATAACTAAGTTTATTGTTGTATGCGCAATCACAGGAGCACTTTCTATTGCCTTACTCTCGTAGTCAGATGGGACGTTAATCCGACACGACCGGAGAGAAATCGATCGTTGGACCAACGGCTTTAGGTGCTTTTAGAGGCACGGGGTAAAACATCGCCAACTTCCTGACTGACTCAGGGCTGCTACTGTAAATTTCTTTACAGAAAAACTCATTAACTGATTTTGGCTTGACCCGGGATTCGAACCAAAGGAATATCCACTACCCCATATCATCCCGTGAGTGTCGTAAAAGGCGACTGAGGGAAACAAATCAGGAGAGGAGGAGCAGCATCTTCGTTGGCAGCGTTTCGTTGGCAATCGGCTTGCCAGGCGTGGCAACTATGGCAAATATCCCCTCTATGAGCCAATCTATGGGAAAGGCCATGTTCAAACGCGGCTCTGATCCTAACTTACACTGTCCGGAATTATGTTGTAAATATAGCCAAAGACTTATATACAAAAAGACTCTTACTTACTTTCTACTGGAACAAAATGAGACTAGCAAATTTACTCTATACGAATTTTATTTTTATTTTCAGGTTACTTCTTCTAGACAGAAGCGCACCCACGGTGTCCCCACCACCCACATACAGATCAAACTCAGCCAGTCTAGTCAGGTACGATTATACAATTAAGTACTTTAATTATTTTAAAAAATTACCTTTATTTATGATATTACTAAAAATAACAATTTTTTACATTAATTTATAAGAATATTCAAAAGTAAATGAAATTAATTAAATATTTTTAATTCATTTTATATTGTTTATTTAAGAAATTGGGTGGAGACTCCTACTGAAAACTTTCAACAGACTATAAATATACTGTAAGAACAAAAAAGGAAGAGAAGCAGGATGGTGGGAAACATAAATAATTGGTCTTGCCGTAAGGAAAACTTTGAGATAATGATCGAATAAAATTTTGACCCTTTACGAACTGTAAAATTCGAACTACAAATCGATCTCATAATACACATACAGTACAAATAAATTACTAATTTCATCTTCATTGTTATCCCGTAATTAAAACTACTGCTAATTCGCAAAGCAAAAATAATTCGATCAGTAGTTACCTACTTAATAGCTTTCATATTTCGACAAAGACTTGTTTTGATACGTTTTTCTCATCATACTCATTGTCTCCTCTTTCCTTTGTTATACTGTTGGTGCCACTAACGATTTATTAATTATTAATTAAAGGCACACGTGAATCTTTAAACAACAATAATATATCCTATATTTGATTAACAAAAAATTTATTAAATTATAATTAATAACTTTTTGTTAATCAAATATAGGATATATTATTATAATATATAATTATTAAAATATAATTATTTCTAATTTTATATACCTACCTTCAGTGTTGCATACTTACATAGATAAGACTTACCGTAGGTACGAGCCATGAGAACAAGGTATACTAAAATTGTTATCAAGCTATAGACTAACTATAGAAAATTACAAAAAATAACATACCGAATTTAGTGAGAGCGGGTAGCGTGACCTTGCCGACAGTAGAGCCCAACCCCCCAACCAGGGGTATGAAGGTCCTCAGTAGCTTGCTTTTACGTTGATACTAGCGCCATCTCACAGTCAGTAAAATCACTATTATTACCACTAATTTACACATTTTATTCAAAATATGGCGTCACTGCTGATATTTATTATTTATATTGAAGTCTAAATCACGCTATCAAAGTTTTGAAATACTGCGGTGTATATAATATACAATAACCCCAATGAAATAAACGTTGCATTTCAAAGGATGGTTATCGAAATAAAAAATTATATAATGCAAATTAGTTTCTAATTAAAAATAATTTCCTTTTCATTTTATTAAAATGTATTAAATAATCATTGATAATATACACTACAATTGGTAGCGTCCTCTAGGGTATTTTCCAGTAATTTATAATCTCAACGCCGTCTATGACAGCGCAGAAGAAACTTCCCTCGTTTCGTCCCCTAATAATTAGTCAGTGGCTGATCTATGCCCTATATAGTAGGTATATTATCCATGTCTAATGCCACGTCCACAAGCTTGGCAAACCTCAAGCCGTCACAAATTCAAACGTGTGGATAGCGTGTTTGACTTGGTTTGCATAGATTTGCAAGCGCTTGCAGCCGATCCGTCGAGTGTCGGGTTTTTGTTACAAATCAAAGAGAAATTCCCGCAAGCGCTTGCGGTGCGTCCACACGTTTTGGGCACTCAGTCTCGTGTGTGTACTGGTGGCAAAAATAAGAACCAATAATAAAATAATTTCTTAATAACCTGGTACATATGATTTTTATTAATTTTTAACATACACCATCTTCAACTGTGATGAATGTGCAATATGATAACACAAGCGGTCCGCCCCGATTTTGCACGGGTGATTTCTGGATCTCGATAACAGCGCCATCTACCGGGCAAATCTTTGAAATTCTCGCCTTTTCTCTACTTTATGCAATCACAGACAGAATCATTGAAGAGGAAGGTTTATATGTATAAATATAAACCTTCCTCTTGAATGATTCTGTCTATTGATGAAAACCGCGATCTAAGTCTACAGACGGTGGGAAGCGACTTCGTTTTATATTATAATAAATAACATATCATGAAACCTTTAGTATAAAAAGAAAAAATGAAATAAGCAGCGTTTAAGAAATAGCTTGTTTCTTTTGCTATTTTACGAAGCGCCACACTAATAGAAACTCATCGATTACAAATTATACTTCGTCCAATTCCGACATTACCACACGTGCTAATATTCTCACTTTTTCGATAGATACGATGTATATAACGAGGAACTGTTAGTAGAACATTAATTACTACGGATTGTGAAGAATTAACACTTAGTGAGAATGCTTACGAAAAATGGTATCAAGTTTAAAATCCCCAATATTGGAAAGTAGCTCGAAGTGAAGAATTCTTATGATTCTGTTGATTTTCCCAATTACGCTTAAACTTTCAAATCGAAATAATTTTCTTTGACTCTTTTTTATATTTTATCAGTACACAATGGTCCACACTAACTTGCCTGGGTCTACAGTGATTATGATAATTTGCCATAATTGCCACCCTTGGCAGGTGGATGACGATCGCAATACCAAATATTACCTTTGACGTTGCTCAATATTAACACTTGAGGCTTTATCCATATTTCCGACATCCAAGGGACGCGAAGGGGTAGTAATAATTTAACTTTCTGAATATTGTTTTTATTATCTTTTTTTATTCACAGAGGAACGACAGGCGCGACCTGGTGTGGTTCCCAGTATAGCGGCCCTCCTTCATACCGAGCACCGCGAGCGGACCCTCCCGCCACTGTCACTGACGTTCCTTCACTCACTCCCATCGACCTGAAATATGCGGAAGACACGATCGAATCTCTCCCAAAACCCACAGAACAAGAGAAGGACCCAGACGAGCATCTCGTGACCATCGTTCACACAGACGCACAGCCTGTCATAGTGACAGTCTCCGGTTCACCAGCGCTGAATGAAACCCATATTACTCATACCTCTGAAATCGATATTTTAGCACATTTATAACGAAACGTTAGATGTCTTTAAAATTTTTAACATTGTATTTAAAAACAAATACAAAAAGAAACGTAAAAATTCGAAAACGAGTAAGTATTACTGTTCTTAATAAGATCACAATAATTGAAAACTTATTTGTTAGATTTTGATAAAAATGTCGAAATTAGAAATGAATATTTAAAAAAATAATGAATAAAAACAGCAGCGATAGAACAGATGCGAAAATAATTACAAACTTGTAAAAATGTTAATAAACTACTCAATTCATACATAATTGGAAGGCCTGACTCAAGCTTTAAAAAGTGTAAATTTCGTTTTAAAAAAATTAAACATTGTCTTCACATATATTGTTGGTATTTAGTTATTAATATATATAGTGATACAAAGAGTTTTGTTCGAAAAATTTAAAGAACATTTTTTTCTTTTTTAACAATGATCTATAATAAAAATCTCTTGTCACCTTGAACGAATTACATACATACGAGTATAAGAAAAATTTTGATACATAAGATAAACATTACGAAAACAAAAAGTAAGGAAAAATTTTAACGAAATACAACATTTTAATATTAAAATATATAGCATATTATTTAAGTAAAATTAAATTTTCAAAAACAATTACGTATAATAAAAAAGAAATTCTTAATAGCTTAAATTATTTCTGTGTATTCATTGATGATTCTGGAGTCCTTTCAAAAGTAATCTTATTTAATTGTAGTCAGGCCTTCTTATTGCGACTGTTATTAATTGTTCTGCAACCGAAACACTTTTACGTATGTACCTTACTTGAAATAAGTTTTGTGTAAATAATTATAAACATTTAAACAAATATGTGCCCTTGTAAATACAATATATGAATTTGCTAAGTGAATTTGGAGGGAATTATGTTAGTTGAAATAAGAGATCGTCATGAATGGAATTAAACCAAAATTTATACCACAATGTACAATGCATATAATAATGTTTTCACTTTAAACTAAATTAGTGCCAAGGATTTTTTATTGATTTTGTAAATATATATCACAAATAACAAATACTTGATCAGTTTCATTTTGGAGGAATATGCGTTTAATAAACGAAAAGCCAAAATAAAAATAACTTGACCTTTTAAATTATTCGTTTATTATGGTAAAATACTTATGTGGGATTTTGTATTGCGTAATATGAATTTATTTTGAAACACAGTATTCACGTAATTTATTCCTTACGTTTCACAACGATTTATTACTTAGGCGTAACGAATATAATTTTGCAAAGTTTCACAGATAAATGTAGCCATCAACCGAAATGTTTGTTTTATTTATGCTGTTACGTTGCTTCAGTTTAGATAAATATTTATGTATTTAGTACCTAAGTTATTAAGACAGGTCCATGTAAATACTGACCGATTAAGTGAACTAAACTGTTTCATAGTATGTTATTACGAGTATCATTCATTAATGTATATAAAACGGCTGTCACGTATTTGCCTATCAGATTTCCATTATGATATGTTAATACAAAAGAAAAACAAGAAAAACAAATGTCTCCAAAATTATTATATAACCCAAAGAACCGATCTCTTTTCTTCTTAAATATTCTTTCGTATTCTCACCAGTTTCATTAAGTTCAGATAATGAAAAGAATATTTATAGTTCGCTTCGAGGCTAGTATTCTAGGTTCTAATAAACTTATTAGAGAGCAATCTATTTGCATGAATTACACTCGTGATGTAGCCGCTATAGTAAACTACTATTTAAAATTAATCACTGTATCAGGGACAATTTTGTAGTTTAAGTATCATGTTACATAACATACACACTATTAATATTAAGGGATTGTAACAATATATTGTAATTAAAATGCTGTACATAATATTATTTGTGTTATAAGAAGTAAATAAAGAACTTTAGAGAAAATAAAAAGATTTCTGCATTATACATTGCCTTCGAGGTATTATGAAACAACAGCATTCCCCTTAACTTATCGCACATACACGGCAATAATATGTGTATTTGTGCTAATAGTGATAAAAATCACATGGATTTGGAGCAGACGTTCAAATTTGTACTAGAACTATTTGTGCATTTTTGTGCTAACCGTACACCTGACGGTAAAAGGCTATGAATGCACATGGACATTTAAAAACAACTTCTATCGTAGAAAGCTATAGGTGGGTACTCGTCTCATATGATCAAGACAGGATACCTCACTGTCTGGATTATATTAACTCAATACCCATTAAAAAGCCTTGCCTTGGGGAAAGGCTTCATGATGATGATGAGGGAGCCCCTCAAACACACACGAAAAATTTCATCAGAATCGGTTAAGCCAGTTTCGAGTTTTAGCGAGACTAACGGCATTCATTGAAAGAGCCCTATGTTCAGCAGTGGACAGCTGTGAAGGGCCGTAATGGTGATGATGATACCCATCAAAGCATAACGTTGATGTAGCAGTGTAGCTTGGCCTTAAAACAGTTTAGCACAAAGCTAACATAAACACAAGTGGTTATTTTTCAGTCAGGTCTAGGTTCGTTACGTCAATACCCATACTCAATATCGAGTATTGGACTCCAATACTCGCAATCATTTCATACTGTAGTCTAATCAAAGTCAAGAAGTTAAAGTCCTGGGGACCTTCATGAAAAGAGCGTACTTCTCTCTTCTTTTTCTAAAGGGCCAGCAACGCACCTGCAATTCCCCTGGTGTTGCGGTTGATCATGGGCGGCGGTAGTCACTTAACATCAGGTGAGCCGCATGCTCGTTTGCCCCCTCTTCTATAAAAAATAAATAAAAATAAAATAAAATAGAGAGGAGTACTCTACGCACCGAGCGCTAGGCAAACAGCATATCGTGCATGGAGCACTCACACCGCGGATTGGTCGGCGGTATGTTCCCCCCGTCATCAAGAGTCGAATTGGACGCAAAGAGAGAGCCCAGCAGATCGGCTTTGTCCTTTGCGGCATGGTTTAGTGAGTCGTTCTCCCTACGCAGAGATGGGAGAGATGGCTGAGAGAAGTTCCCTTGGACAGCCTTGACTAGAGGCAAGAATGCACGTGTTCCCGAAGGAAGTCGAACTAATTTATCGCCTCTGTCCATATGTTCTGACTTTACCTTGGCAATGACACTTTTGAAGGACTTTTGAAAGACGAAATGCAGAAGCAGAGCTTCTACTTCACGCTGATTTTCCGAGAGGTCTTGGTAACACCCCGATTCGAGCTGGCCCATACCGCGTGGCTCAGCCACTGTTAAAAATATAATACTTACTCATTGGTTACAAAAAAATAGTAATTTATCATTTGGGAATCCTATAGCGTCATTTTACATTATACATCCATTGTATATTATAGTATATATAGTAATAAAATAAAAGATAAGTAAAATGATCGCAACGAATTGATATGAAAGGCGTGTTGCTACCTTATAGCAACAGTTCACAAGATCATAAGTTGCGAAGGCTGCTATGCGGGACTGTTAGTTTGAAAAAAATATTTACCCACCATACCTAGTTCATACATAGTCTTAGTTATTAATATTCATTTACAAATTTAATAAATGTCCCTCTGTTTAGGACATTAATATCTCAGTCGCCGTACAATAAAACATTTTTAATTGAAAATTGAAATTTAGACGAAACCGACACTGGCTTGTGTATTTTGTAAGAAGGAAGAGAGAAATTGTTGTCATTGCAATAGAGTTAAAAAAAACTAATTTATGTCATAGACACCCTCAAGAAAACAATTTTCGAATGATTATGATTTGAAATCTACGGTGAGTACATAATACGGATTTTTACGAGAAACGAGGTAATTTATAATTATTTTTAGGGGATTGAAAACCTTGCTTGATGTAATAAATACAGAATTTTTAGGATAGCTGTGAACAAAAAATTGACAAAACCAAAATATATTGTGTCTTTTCTTTTATACCGACGCCGAAAACTTAACGTGATATTGAATGTCCCTCTTACATAATATCGTTTTTTGAACTAAATTTCGAAGTCTGTTAAGTAGAATTTAATTTAAGACGACACATCGAAAAGGCTATCGCCGTACTGATCCGAATGAATACATAATTTGTATAAAAACTTGAAAAAACGCCGTCATAAGGTCTAAAATAGCGTAGCGCCCGCGACGATTAAAAGCGCTTAGAAATTCTCAGAAACTTTAAAATAATTTTTTAAAAATTATTGATTTAAGAAATCAAAATAATGAGCAAGTAAATTATGAATATTTATGTTATGAATATATTTGAGTGATTTCCAAGCATATAGATTAAATAATTTCGTTGTAATTTCAATTATAGTGATTTTTTAGAGGTGTTTTCGCAAATAATTATGATCGAGTCAAAATTATACAATCGTGTTTTTGAACAATCAAATTCAAGATAAAGGCATGAATTTACCTATATCAAAATTTCACTTTTCTTAGTGGTGTCATAGTCTTTATACTATTCGATGAAATGAGGTGCATTTTTCACGGTGTCGCCTTAAGCGCGCAAGTAATGGTGTAGAAATTTATCTACATCTGGCATTATTTAGTTATATATATATATATATATATATATATATATATATATATATATATATAAATACATAGTTTTTTTAAATATTTTAATGTTATGTAAATTCAAATTAATCAAAGACCATTTATTTTTATCGATATTTGTAATTGTACGTAACATGCCTCGCCTAATAAATGGTCTGGATAATAAATTTAGAAGTGAACTCACTAAAGTTAACATAAAGTATAAATTAAAATGTTTTACCTTAACAAATATTAGCTGTTATTCCCATTTTTGTAATAAATAGGATTATAATAATGTAGACGGAACGGCACACAACGCAAACCTGCTTGGTTCTGCCCTGAGCCGCTTAGCAAATTTATAACAATTTTTATTTGATAATTAAATAAAAAAAGACATAGCCTATAAGGATCAAGGCACTGGCATTGGTCTGTATATGTTTACAAAGTTTCATCACAATTGGTTCAGCCGTCCCGAAGATCAACCCGAACATACAGACAGACTGAC